TTCGCTATTACCGAAGCAGAATTCCTAAACTTCTTCGATATATTGGGTGACCGCTTTATAGCAGCTGGTAACTACAATGCAAAGCACACACACTGGGGATCTCGACTCATCAACCCCAAGGGAAAACAACTTTACAACGCGATAATAACTCCACGAAACAAGCTTGACTTTATTTCTCCGGGTAAGCCTACATATTGGCCAACAGAACCAAATAAGAAACCTGGCCTGATTGATTTTGCTATCACAAGAAGAGTGCCGCAGGCTCATGTTCGTGTGGAGCACTTTCTAGATTTATCATCAGATCATTCGCCCATCTTGCTTCACCTCTACGACCATCCTCAGGTTACAGAACGGTTACATTCTCTAAGTACTGGTAAAACAGACTGGCTCAAATACATAAAGTATGTAAGTACTCATATTAATGACCGCCCAAACATTTCCTTAAGAAGACCTCGACAATTCAGTTGAAGCGTTAGTGAATGTTATTACACTGGCTGCACAACATTCCACGCAACCTATAACATCTAATAAACCACTTAACAGCAGACGTGCTTCTAGGCACATCGAAGAACTGCTATACAATAAGAGAAGGCTTCGTCGAGAGTGGCAAGCCCATAGATCCCCAGCCTCTAAGGAGCGCCTAAAAATAGCCAACTGCATGCTCCGCAAAGCACTAGAAGCTGAGAAAAATAGAGTTGAACTATCCTTTATGAAGCAACTCTCACCAAATAGCAAAAGATATCCACTGTGGAAAGTTAAGTCAGGCATATGTCCACCAATAGAAAGTGAATCACCCCTACATAGGCAAACAGGAACTTGGTCCCGCAGCAACGAAGAGAGGGCGAATACATTTGCCCTCCATTTAAAAAATGTCTTCAAACCACTTCCAGCAACGAATAGCTTTGTGCTACCAATAATCTCCAATCCTGAAGCTAGCCCGGAAATTATATTCCATCCAGAAGAAGTTACAAGAATCATACAGTCCCAAGACAAAAAGAAAGCGTAGGGTCACGATCTCATCACCCCAAAAATGATTGTAGAACTGCCAAACTGAGCAAAACATCTTTTTACCATAATATTTAACAGCATGATGAATTTGGGATATTATCCTCAACAATGGAGGAAGTCTGTCATTATAATGATCCATAAAGCCGGAATGGACAAGTCCCAGCCATCGTCATATAGGCCAATCAGCCTTCTCCCGTGCCTATCAAAGATATTTGAAAAGCTGCTCCTCAGTCGCATCAAGCAATACTTGAAAGCCCACAATGCAATACCAATGCACCAATTTGGATTTCGTGAAAAACACGGAACTATTGAACAAGTGAACCGGATAACCTCCGAGATACGAAATGCATTTGAAAGGCGAGAATATTGCTCCGCTGTCTTTCTGGATGTCGCACAGGCCTTCGACCGCGTGTGGCTGGACGGCTTAATTCATAAAATCAGATTAATACTTCCACAAAGCACCCATACAATTTTGGAGTCCTACCTGCAGAAAAGAAGCTTTGCAGTGCGATGCAAAGATTTCCTCTCTGATTATCATCCAATAAAAGCTGGAGTACCTTAAGGAAGTGTGCTTGGGCCGACATGTATATAACGAACAAAAATGAAAACATGTTACTTTTACCCTAAACAGGCAAACCTGCCCTTCACTATCCCTGAACACTAGCCACTAGCCACAAACTAGCCACTAGCCACAAACAACTGAAGTAACATATCTAGGAGTCCACCTGGATAGACGACTCACTTGGCGTAAACATATCGAAGCTAAGAGAAATCATTTAAAATTTAAAGCCAGCAATCTACATTGGCTTATTAACGCTCGCTCGCCACTAAAATTAGAGTACAAAATACTTTTGTATAATGCAGTCCTAAAACCAATTTGGACATATGGGTCCGAGCTATGGGGAAGCGCATGTGCCAGCAACTTCGAAATAATCCAGAGAGCTCAATCAAAGATATTGAAAACTATAACAGGAGCTCCGTGGTATATACGGAATGAAAATATTCATAAAGATCTAAATATAGGCTTAGTTAAAGACGAACTCGACAAAGCGAAAGCAAAGTATAATCTCAAGCTCCAGGCCCATTCTATACACGACTCCGGCGAAAAAACCTCCCCACCCAGCAGCAATAGTTAGGGCCGTTATTCTAACCCTGCAGGAAAAATGCGAACTAGTCTGAAAAACAACTAGTTATACAACTAATATAAAGCAACCGGAATTTGTCTGAATGCATTTGGACTACACAGGGTCTAGAAAATTTGTGCTAGTCGAAAAAATGATTAACACAAAACTAGTTAAAAAGAAACTTGTCTCGGACTGGTACCTTTCTGACAAAAAAAACAAGAAAGGAAGCTACCTTCGGCCAGCCGAAGCTTATATACCCTTGTAGATAAAAGAATACTCACTCGGTGCAGTTCCAGGGATTCCAGATTCAGCGTTTCGATTTATTTCAATTTTGTTTTTAAGTAGTCAAGAATCAAAACGCCTACTTCCTACAAAGTTACAATGAATTTTCTTATATTTGTTTGGGAGCCTTAAGATATAGTGGTCCGATCCGGCTGGCTCCGACATATGTACTACCTGCAATAGAAAGAAGACCTTCGGGAAAGTTTCATCGCGATAGCTTTAAAACTGAGAGACTAGTTCGCATAGAAACGGACAGACGGACAGACGGACATGGCTAGATGGACTCGGCTATTGGTGCTGATCAAGAATATATATACTTTATGTGGTCGGAAACGTCTCCTTCACTGCGTTGCAAACATCTGACTGAAATTATAATACCCTCTACAAGGGTATAAATATTTAACTGGTAGAACAAATACATGTTAGGGTCTAGTTAAAATGCAACTGGAATTTAAGTGGTTGCAAATGAAACACATATGATCCAAAAATATAGCCTAGAGTGTAAATGTCTTGGGAAATTTAACACTAAACAAATCAAACACTCGAGGCCCTCGGTTCAATCCCCAGTCTCTGTACATTTTTTTTCTTTTTTGTTTGCTAGGTGATGATTTAGTTTTATTTTAAACTTTGTTTAATCTGTCCAAGGCAATATATATGTGAAAAATCACTGTTTTTGAATTATGTCACACTAAAATTCATAAACCTTGTTAGGGCATTACAAAATGTGATGCGTGTATGGCTCAATCAGTTAGTGTGTCTCCAAATCCAAAGGTCCCGGGTTCAAGTCCTAGAGAGGGCGACTTGCCTCAAAAAAAGTAAGTTTGTTTTATTTCCATTTAATTATCATTTACTGTATTTGATTACATAATAATTATCAGAAATTCTTTAAGGACCGCGCCTGTTAATTGGATACTAAATTAGGAGAGCGTCAAGTTAGGCATTGTCAAGTACTAGTGAAATCCAATCACTTGATGGTTTAGATATTAATTTTTAGTTTTTTCGTGAAAATATTTTTTTTAGTGTAGTTTAACAGCTGTAAACGTAAATTGGTTAACAGTAACTAGTGCAAAACTAGTAGCAAATGGACTAGTTGTTTCCGACGACAAGCATATGAAAAATGGACCACTTCGTTACAAGGAAATGGACATAACTTGAACTAGTTAACCTTTTTGACCCAACTAGTATTTTAGTAGTCCAAAACTGATTCCGTTTCCTGCAGGGAAATAATTAATTTGTAATTAATTAAAATATATAAACTAGATTAAGATTTGCAAACTTGTCGTTAGTCTCTAAGAGAGAAGATTCGATAAATAAAATACCGTAGAACAAAAAAAAAAGTTGCCCACTAATCTAGGTAGAGTAAGTATCCACACAATCAGCTCCTCTTCTTCTTAAGAATTTTTGAAGAATCGATTAAAATGTCAAACGAACTAGAAGAAAAAGGTCCTTAGAGAAAGTATCCTCTTCTTTTTAAGAATTCGCGGTTTTTGAAGAATCGATTAAAATGTCAAACGAACTAGAAGAAAAAGGTCCTTAGAGAAAGTATACCCCTTCTTAAGATCTTGCGGTTTTTGAAGAACGGATTTAAATATCCAACCAAGTATAAGTCCAAGACTTTAGGTAAGTAGAGAAAGGTCCACCAAATCCAATCTTTTACTTGTTCCTAAGAATTCGCGGTTCTAAAAAAATTGATTTCAATATCGAACCTTTTCTTATACTTGGTTGGATATTTAAATACGTTCTTCAAAAACCGCGAATTCCTAAGAAGAAGAGGAGCTGATTGTGTGGATACTTTCTCTTCCTAACTAAGGACATTTTTCTTATAGTTCGTTTGACATTTTAAGCGATTCTCAATAATCTTCTCTACCTAGCTTTCTCGATCCTATTGCTTGATTTTTTTTATTTAAAAAACATTTACGGTTACTGAAAAATAACCGTGGTCGTAACGACTTAAAAATAATTTTTAAAATAGGTCGACAAAGAATTTTGTTGAGCCACACACTAATTTTATTTTAGCCTACCCAAGAAGAGCCACAAAAGAAGTTTGAGTTTTATTTTTGATCGAAATAATAAAAGTCAAGTAAAAACTGTTATTTTTCCACTTTTATTATAAAACTCTGTCAATCGAAAGATAAAACTAAACAACTAAACTAAAATATTGGTGTATTCACCAAATTTTTTGAACGCTTCAAAGTGCATGATTTTTTTGTAAGAAAAATGAACAATAACAGTTATTTTCGGTCCCTGGTACATTTTTCTTTACTGGTTTTCTTCAATTTATTTTCCCTACTTTTATCGTAATTTCTCCTAAACCAATTGCCTTCGGAAAAGTCGTGATACCAAAATTTGAAGGAACTAACAGTAACTTTCGATAAGTGTATCATTTGTTATAATCAGACTATCGTAACATATTAGTAATTTTAAGGTTATATATAGTAGTCTCCTCGCGCACACTCTGTACGATTCATCACTAAGTGGACACAGTGATTTGATATTAAACCACTGAAGATTTAAAAATATTCAACCACCATTTCCTAAATAACAGATTTTCTAAGTCTTATAAATTTCATTTTCTTTTAATTGTAGTTTCGAAAATCAAATAGTAGTCATCGAGACTATTTTTTACCATGATTGATCCTAGTTCAAGTGAGGAGGAAGGCGAAGATGACCCCATTGCCAATGTGCCATCGAAAGGACGTCTTACACATGCGCCCAAGGGAGCAAATACCGTTTCTATAACAGGTGGATCTTCCGGTCCCGGTGTAGGATCAAATATTCCTACATCTGGCTCTAATGGTGATCTGGTCGGGAATCAGAGACAATCTAATATTAATACCATTGGAAACCGAAATGATTCTGGAAACATATGTGTGGCGGCAGGCTTACAAGTCTCCTCTAACAAAAATGAACAAACACACGGTAGCCGAGTTGAAGGCGGGAATCTCGAGGTGCCCAACAACTGTATTCCGAGGTTGGTACTAACATAATTTGTTCCGAAATATTTCCAATTCGTGTTTTTAAATAACAGTACAACAGTTATAGCCATTGAATTGTTTGATAAATTACACTAGTTTACAAAATAATATTCTTGGTGTGCGTCCCAGCAATTGAAGGCAAATTCTGTTAGTGTTGGACCCCTAGATCACGAAAATAGCATTTTTTTTTTCGATGGCACAGTTTTTTTTAAAAGATGTTTTAAAGTTCGAAATGTTAAATTTCTGACTTTCTCGAATTTCTTATATCTCGGCAGATATCCACCCGATTGGGCCAGTTTTAGTTTTATTTCAATAAATCAGAGCTTAACTTTGCCATACAGATCAATATGATTGGATAAGTAATGGCAGCGCAGAAACTTGACAAAGATGAAAAATGTGTTTTTTGGTCGACTGTAAGTCGGCTGTACATATCGTACATATCGGACAGAGTCCAAATTTAAGATTTATCATAGGCGGCGACATGTAAACAAAAATGAGTGGTGACGGCAGCCAGGTCAAAAAATAGCTAAATTTAAAAGCTAGTAAATTATAAAATAAATTTAAGTTCTGAAAATTTCTTTAAAATATAAAATTGCTTGCGTTATGACTGTGAGTATTTTTAATTAAGTACTATCCATCTGGATAATTCATTCTTATGAAAAAAGTAACCTTAATTTCAAAAATTATATTCACTTTAATAATTTTCTAGCTTTTAATTATCTGATTTAGCTATTTAGTGACCAGGCTGCCAACACCAATTATTTTTGTTAACATGTCGCCGCCTATGATAAATCTTAAATTTGGACTCTGTCAACCGAAAAAAGTTAAAAAGTACTAGTGTTATTTGTATATCCGTGGCTCAGAAAATAAAAAGTTTACAAAAAAAGGCAAAACGTTTACGACCCTATTTCTGAAATTGGATAGTATTTATTATTTTACTATTTTTATACCCTTGCAGAGGGTATTATTATTTCGGTCAGAAGTTTGCAACGCAGTGAAGAAGACGTTTCCGACCCCATAAAGTATATATATTCTTGATCAGAATCACTAGACGAGTCGATCTAGCCATCCGTCTGTCCTTCTGTCCGTCTGTCCGTTTCTATGCGAACTAGTCCCTCGGTTTTAAAGCTATTGGAATGAAACTTTCCCAAAAGTCTTCTTTCTATTGCATATACAAGTCGGAACCAGCCGGATCGGACAACTATATCTTATAGCTCCCATAGGAAAGATCGGAAAAAAACGTACAAAAAATTCTAGCTTCGGTGTTTTTTAAAATATTAACTTCTACTCTTGGGAATGTTATTTTTTAAATAAATATGAATTTCGAAAAAAAATTTAGATAAAATCGAGACACTAAATCATATAGCTGCCATAGGAACGGTCGAAAAATTAAATGCAAATTAATAGGAAACAAATTATTGATTCGTTGGTTTTTATTGTATTCTCTTCTACTCTGGAATATGACTCTTTTTAAATATTTCCGAATTTCGATTTTAATTTTATCAAAATTGAACTACTATATTTTAAATTTAATTTAATTTTGGTTTTATTTCTTCCTAACGCTACAAGTACAAAAAAAAAATACTTATAAATTAAAGCGCTAGTCACAATTGGTCAGATTCATGAACATAAATAAATGATGACATTACATTACATACATTACAAATAGCTGCCATAGGAACGATCGGAAAATTAATGAGAAATAATAGAAAATTGAACATTTTTGCGATTTGTTAATTAATAGGAATGATCTGCAAGAGTATATAAGCTTCAGCTGGCCTAAAAATTATTTTTGTTTATTACTGTCAAATTTGTACCGATAATAGCTAAAGAGTAACTTATAGCCTTTTCCCATAGAGTCCATCCGTGTGAAACGGTTGAAATTTTTGACAAATGTGAAACTCGTGTACCCATAGAGCACATCCACCATCCAATAACAGCTGACTTGAAGAGCAGTTGCTCAACTTAACATTAACGAAGGGGGATTTAAACTCGGCAAAAATGTCTTAAACTTACGTTCTGCTGACCTTATTGTAGAATAATACAATAAATAGGATAAACTTTTATAACATATCCCAAACGAGTGTGCATGTATATTGCTGACTGGGGGAGAGCCTAACCTCCCCCTACCTCAAACCATTCTGGAGTGCTGCATTTATTTCAAAACGGTCATTTATTAAAAAGGGATGCAAAATAAATGGTAAAAGATAAAAAAAATACGGATCGTTACATTTCGATCCTCTATCGAGGATTTCTGATATCAGAGATTTGAGCTGTAGGATATAGTTGTCCAATTCCGACTTATATACTACCTGCAATAGAAAGGAGATTTTTGGGAAAATCTGACTACTATAGCTGTCAAACTCGTCTAGTGATGCTGATCAAGAACATCAGTTTATAAAATAATATCATTGATGTGCTCCCCAGCAATTGATGGCAAATGTATTTTTTCGTCGACTGTAAGTCGGATGTATACATCGTAAAAAGTCGAAATAAATCCGTTGAAAAATGGGTACCATCTTAAAGTTTAAATCCTAGCAAATAAAACAAGCCGGGTTTTGCTCAAATTCAAGGAAAATTTGATTTATGGTGGATTTTTAAAGTTCGGATTTTTCCATTTTTTTTGTTTGACAGAGTCCAAATTTAAGTTTGGTAATACTTTATATTAGCGGACTCACCCCCGAACTTCGCGAAAAAATGATCCTCGATGGACCGCGATTTTTTAAGAACTTACGTGCAAAAAGAACTTGGCGGTCGGCCATGGTGCTCTTGTAATTGAATTTTAAAGTTCCCGCTTTTGCTATAAAAACAAGTAAGCTCTTCTAACGTTTCCCACCGGGAAAGTGAGAAGGTGGTTCTTTGTGTGTTGAAAATCCTGTTCCTTTTAGCAGAAAGTGTTGGAAATCCTGTATCTTCTAGCAGACGACGGTGTAGGGAAAATGTAAATTCCCTTGAAAAGCCACATAGAAACCTCATTTACCCCTTACTTTTTGTGTCACCCCCGTGTATTTTGAAACCAGAGACGGAAGAAATGTAAGGGGTAAATGAGGTTTTGTCCCTTCCGCTTGTATGAAGAAACCTCATGAAAATATCATGTTTTTCAGAGAAATGTTCCCGCTGGGTTGCTATAAAAATCATATATGTATATATGTGAACTATTACCTTTTTGTCAAAATAAGACTAATTTAAAATACCAAATATCTGAGTAATTTGGTATTAAAGGGAACTAGTCCCCACAACCGCGTAAAAATGATCCTAGATCAGCGGTCGGCACACACATACGTTGACATTTTGTTTTATATTTGTGTGAGTAATTTGCACTGGGCAGCTCATCGATGTGTGTGTGCAGACCGCTGTTCTACGTTATACATGTGCGAGCAGCTCGGCGGCAGAACAAAACCCTATGCTCACTTAATAGGGCGCTGCCGACCGCTGTCCTAGATGGACAGCGATTTCTTAAGAACTCTCATAACCATGGACGACCACATGTATATTTTTATTATGATAATCAGAAGAAATCGCGGTCCAAGGAGGATTATATATTTAAGTCTTATCCACCCAAAACCAAACATCAAGATTGAATTTCTTTTTCTCAGCGACACAACGGATTGCCTTTTTCAGCAAAAACTACTTGTTTAATACTGAATAAGAAAGACTGCGCCGCAAGCGGAAAAAATGTAAGAAAAATTTGCGCGATTTTTCCTAAATTTGTTCGGCCTACGGCGCCACATTTTAAATGCACAATTTTCAAATACTTCCTATTAGGGAATACTTCAGCAAAGAGGTTTCTAGCCCATAATAGGTTATTAAAAAAATAACCTGTACCTTTACCTAAATGGTGGTGCGGAAAAATGTTCATTAAAACTATTTAAATAACAAAATTTAAAAAAAAATCTAGATTTTTTTTATTGGAACTCATTTAAACATTTAATTGATTTTATAGGAACCTATTAAAACTTAATTACTTTGATTAAAAATATGAGAAGAGCACCCTTGTTTTTTATAGCAAAAACGGGAACTTTGAAATTCAATTACATGAGAACCATGGCCGACCGCCATCAGCGTTTCTATTTAAATTTTGTTTTTAAGTAGTCAAGAATCAAAACGCCTACTTCATACAAAGTTACAATGAATTTTCTTATTTCCTATGGGAGCCTTAAGATATAGTGGTCCGATCCGACTCGCTCCGACATATGTACTACCTGCAATAGAAAGAAGACTTTCGGGAAAGTTTCATCGCGATAGCTTTAAAACTGAGAGACTAGTTTGCATAGAAACGGACAGACGGACATGGCTAGATATACTCGGCTATTGGTGCTGATCAAGAATATATGGGCACTTCCAAAATGTCGCTCGGGACATTTGCACACCTTTAAAGTTGAAAAAAAATTGTAAAACAATGGATTTTAATTTTAATTATGGGCTTTTCTTTTCACTCTTCCCAAGCTCTATTTTTGGTAAAAATCTTGATTTTGTACCACTTTTAGTTTTTAAGATATCGGTAAAAAACTGCCGTATTCGCTCGGGACAAAAATAGAAGTGGATTTCGGGGAAGTTCATACAACACCAGAAATTAGCAAATTCTGATGGAATATTTGAATGCGATTTTTTTTAGAATGTTGTTCAAACATGTCGCTATGAAATGCTTTTGGTTTTACTCAAAAATTCTTTGCCGTTTTTTTTTTATGCAGTTTCAACCACATTCGCTCGGGACATGTCGCTCGGGACATTTTTTCCGACTGTTTTGTAAAGCGGATTTCTTTACCTCTATCTCTCAATTGCTGGATGTTTTGCTTTTAACTTAATAGTTTAGTATGTGGATGAAGCATTCAGTACAGAAAAATGTCACATATTAGCATTCCTATAGGATAAATTTACAACAGAAGACAGGTCCAAAAAATAACAAAAAAATTGCCAAAAACGGATTTTTGCGTATATTGGTGGGGTTTGTCATAAAAATAATCAAACTATACTCCAAATTTGTAGTTAAGCTCAGTATCCAACTAATTAGAAACTAATATCGGGGCAAAATCATGTGGAAATATGTTTTATTCAAGTTTCAAGGTTTTTGGCTTGGTGGACTTTTTTTTGGAAGTGCCCATATATACTTTATGTGGTCGGAAACGTCTCCTTCACTGCGTTGCAAACATCTGACGGAAATTATAATACCCTCTACAAGGGTATAACTAGTGACGATCGCACCTTCAACATACAAATGTTCTGATATCAATATTTGTGACGAAAAATTATTACATTCGTCATTACATACACTTTCTAAACGGGTATTTTCAATAGAAACACAAATAAAACATTGTGAGAGGGCTTGTATCCCCACCGGCTCCAACAGCATCAAAATTCGAAATTTTCACTTTTTCACTTTCACCGCTCTCTCTCCCAAGCCAATTGATTTTCTTAAAGGCTTGGTGTGCTGCCATCACCAATCATTTTTTACACGTCGCCGCCTGAGATAAAACTTAAGTTTTGACTCTGTCGACCGAAAAAAGTTGAAAAATCCAAATTTTTAATTTCCAACATAAATCCAATTTTCCATCGATTTTGAACATACCAGGCATCTACTGAGCATGTAGATGAGCATGAGGATGTAAACTTTAAGTTGGTACCAATTTTGATTTTTCAGCGGATTTGTTTCGAGTTTTTACGATTTATACAGCCGACTTAAAGTCGACAAAAAAACACATTTTTCATCTTTGTTGTGCTGCTGCGCTGTCATTACTTATCCAATCATATTAATCTGTATAGCAAACTTAAACTCTGATCTATTGACTTTAAAAAACTGGCCCAATTTGGTGGAAATGAGCCGAGATATGAGAAGTCGAAAAAAATCAGAAATTTAACATTTCGAACTTTAAAATATCTTTAAAAAAAACTGTGCCATCGAAAAAAAGGTAGTGGTATTTTCGTGATCTAAAGCTTCAACACTAACAGAATTTGCCATCAATTGCTGGAAAGCATTTTGGCTGTAAAATAGTGGGGTCGGCAACGTCTCCTTCACTGCGTTGCAATCTTCTGACTGAAATCATAATACCCTTTGCAAGGGTATAAAAATGTAGTGCTGTCGAAAGAGACCTTAGGTATATGAATCGGTCCCTACTAATTTTTTTCTTGTTATTATTAAGGGAAGAGTAGGGTCTTGCGAAAAAAAAATCTTTTTTTTTTGTAGACTAACATCTTAAGACTATACAAAAAAAAGTTTTAGGTCAATCGGACAAAAACTTTAGAAGATTGTTAAAATTGTTACTAACAAAATTTTCCTACAAAAAAAATAATGTTTAATTTTGAACGGTTAAATAAAATATTTAATGTAAAAAAAAAAATAAACCCTTCCAGTGGCTGTTTTTTTCTATTGTTAAACAAAATTTAAAAGCAGAATAAAAAATCCGATAATTTTTAGCGGAGATACAGTGAACACCGCAAAACGCTCTGTTGGGGCGGGGGTGGCTTGATTGTAGCAGGCGATGAGTCCCAGGGAAAAAGGCGGTGGAAATCCGCGTAGAAATATTATCGAAAACACGGGTAGAACTTCTCGGGTATTATGCGACGTGCGTGTGTTTATTGGACACTTAAAAATAGAACTAAGTACAATAATCTTAGCTTAGAGGCTCCTGAGCGGAGCGGAGACTTTGGGGAGAGTTGGAGGGGGAGAGTGAAGGGCAGTACGAGCGAGATGTGGACATCTGGAGAAAACTGCCGCTCGACACTGCCTCCAGAAATTACACGCCCTTTTGGCGTGAACACGCTCTATGCAAAGATAATATAAACACTAAGATGTGTAACGCCCATACAACTGAATGTCCGGCAAAATTTTTGGTGTGGATTCAGAAAGTGGATTTACAATCTTCTTAGTGTGCGTTGTCCGTGTTAGATTCTTTGGTTGTGTTAGTGTACAATTTCGTTTGGTCTGCTGCGAAATAGGCTCAAACTCGCATCTGACTGGCGCTTCGTAATAAGGTCCTGTGGGCTAGGAATATAGTCATTCGACTGCGGATTGTGTCGGACCGAGTTCAACTCCGACTGAACGCAGATTTTTTTTTAAATTTTTTTTAACATTGTTCATTTAATATAAATATATAAAAGTAAAGGAAAGGTGAAGACCATTAATAGAATAATTTATTTTGGTGTAAATTATTTGTTTCTAGGGATAGTGTTGTTGCTTTATCGTTTAAAAAAATACAATTATTATTATTTTGGGTCCCTGAATTGAATATAAATTGTATACTTTAATACAAATTTTGTTAAATAAAATTATAAAAGTAAACTCGGGTGCATATTTCATTAACTTTTAATTCAAAAGTAATGAATTAAAGAAAGATTTTCTCAAAATGCTTCTGCTTTTAAAACTTTTTTTTTATTTACCAGTTTTGTTCCAATTTGTTTTGCTGATCATGATAAAGTACCATAAGCGTTTAAAACAACATTTATAAACAAACAAAAAAACTGCAAATAAATTTAAAAAACAAACAAAAATTAAAAAAAAAAATTAAAAACAAACAAAAAAAACTACAAAACAAATTTAAAAATCAAACAAAAAAAATATAGCTAAAAAATTAAAAAAAAAAAACGGCTATAAAAAGCTCTTTTGCCTCAGAGTGGACTCGAGCCTCGATCGCACCAATTTCAGGCCACCAACTTACGCAATGCGCCACAGCCCGCTTTGAAATCTTATGCGCAATGTGCCTTTTAGGTCGTTACCTTTTCGGCAACATAATTTATGAATCGACAAATGACAAATGTTTTACATGTTACATGTGTAAGTGCGTTTTTCTCGAAGCTACGTTTTGAATATATACCGATCGTTTTAAACTTGTCGCATATTTTTCTGCATTACAAAGAACAGGGTTGTGAACCCATATTATTTTGACATAGGCTACGTTCGGGGTTCAAACCTTTTATTTTGGCATGGGTTATAAGTTCGGGGTTCAAACCTAATCGTTTTGCGAACCTGTTCATAGATGAGCCGGAGTAGGGTTCAGGTTCGAACCAGGATTAAAAAAATCTTTTTTTTTGTAAATGAAATAATAAAGTCAACATAAAGACCATGTATTTTTATTCAAATATGTGCCATAGCAAACATAAAGACCATGTATTTTTATTCAAATATGTGCCATAGCAAATTGTCTTTAAAATTTTTAAAAAGCCAGAATCTTTAACTATGGACGCCCATTTTTAGTGACTAGTTCAAGGCAAGCAACAAAAATATTAGCTTTGGTAATTTTCACCTTTCAGATAAAACAAGAAAAATGTAGTTGCTTTTATGACAATCTTATCTTGTCTTTCACTTTTTCGAACAAGAAGTTATCAGGAACTTTATAATTTCAACTGTGTATAGGATTACTTCAATTGAATAAAGATGCGAATTTGGAAATTTTTATTTAATTTTAGTATTAATATTTTGTATATATTTCTTGTGTAAAAAATCAAGTTTTAAAATTTTACTATTTTTACCTACAAACATTTTTTATAACTGATTTAGTGGTATTTCGCAAGAAACTTTAAATCAAAGTATTGGATCATCGAGGGCCAACTCATTGCCGCGGCCATTGTCACCATCACCATCTTTAACCAGCGAGAAGCCTGAAACTGGAGATCCGCATGTAAGTGCAATCAGAAACAAGAAAGGAAGCTAGCTTCGGCTAGCCGGGGCTTATATACCCTTGCCGATCATTCCTATCAATTTAAAAATTACAAAATGTTACATTTTGTTTTGTCATTCATTTATATATTTTCATATGGCTATATTATATAGTCCACCCATTATTATTATTAAATTAAATTCGAAATTCACAAATATTAAAACATCTGATTCCCAGAAATTTTCCGATTGTTTCTATGTCAGCTCATATCATACAGCTGACATAGAAACAATATGATTTTGATATATTTAAATTAAAAATTTATAATTCAGCAAGAGAGAACGCTATAGTCGAATGCCCCGACTATCAGATACACGTTACTCAGCTAAAGGGAGTGCGACGGAGATGGATATATAAAACTTTGATCGGGCATAACGTCTAAACGAATGGTCCGATTTGAAACATTTTCTGTCTGTCTGCAAGAGAGAACGCTATAGTCGAATTTCAAAGACATGGACAATGGTTGGCAATGAGGACTATTTTTTAGGAATGCCGTGATGTATTGAGAGTAGATTTCCGCGAAAATAATAAAGATTAGTCCAATTATATAGGCGACATAATTCGAAATGTCGGCGAACAACATGGGACATAAGTTTGTATGGGACTTTTACTCAGGAGCGCCCAATTATCATAAAAAAACTAGAAATGGTTCGTGGAAATTTTACAGTTTAGTTCAGTTCAGTTTAGTTTTGTGTTCCTGTGTTATTTTACTTGAACTGAGTCCGATTTACAAAAAGACGTCGTGAAATGTGACTGGCAATTTCAGGTCATCCCTCAGAAAAATTGAAATATATTACGTTCGATTGAAATATAACCGTAATCGTAATTTTTGTTATCTCCTGAAATTTTTTGAAGATGTAGATGAAAACTTTGATTCGCCGTAACTTTTTAACGAATGGTCCGATTTAAAAAATTTCTTCTACATTTCGATAGGCATTCATAAACACAATAAAACTGCGTTTTTACTTTTCCGAAATATTGAAATTTTTAAAATCGTATTTAAGCGATTGTGGGCGCTAGAGGGGGCGTGGCACCCTTTTGAAACAAACTTGCGCTGCGTAGGAACTTCTAGAATCTGCATTCAAAATGTCAATCTTCTAGCCTTTATACTTTTCCGAGATCTCAGCGTTCAGACAGACGGACATGGCTAGATCGACTCGGCTAGTGATCCTGATCAAGAATATATATAGTTTATAGGGTCGGAAACGCTTCCTTCTACCTGATCTATACTTTTGCACGAATCTAATATACCCTTTTACTCTACGAGTAACGGGTATAAAAACAACGCCAAAGTGCCCCAAAATTCGTTTTTTTTTAAATTCTTTTTTTTTAGCCATTTTTCTGTTATAAATGTTGTTAAAATGGTTTAAAAATGTGATGTTCATAATCTTAATCTTACAGTCAAAATTTTCCTTAAAATTGCTTTCTGACCCCATAAAGTATATATGTATATTCTTGATCAGGATCACAAGCCGAGTTGATCTAGCCATGTCCGTCTGTCTGTTTGTCTGTCTGTCTGTTTGTCTGTCTGTCTGTCTGTCTGTCTGTCTGTCTGTCTGTCTGTCTGTCTGAGATCTCGGAAAATACAAAAGTTAGAAGGTTGAGATTTCCCACACGTATTCCTGGGCTACCTACGCCCCCTCTAGGTTCACAATCGCCCACTAACGATTTTAAAATGTGTCCTGCGCCCACATCTTTAAAGATTTCCGAAAAGTATAAGTGCAATTTTGTTGTGTATATTTATACCTATTGAAATGTAGTGGACATTTTTCAAATCGGACCATTCATTTAAAAGTTATGCGCAATCAAAAAATTGTTATATATCCATTTCCATTTGTTATATATTCCATTGATTCTCTTACCCTTTCTTACACGTGCCTCATATTGTTTAAGCAATTTGATTCACGGCATCCCCTTCCACCTCCCTTCCTTATTATTAATATAGTTCTAATCAATGGAAACAAAAATACTGAAGCAAAATATCAATGGTAAAATGCAGTAATATGGAATTGTTGTTCTTAATGCCGTTTTTTAAATTAGTCAAATACATAAAGCAAAACATTGGTTCGCATAAATATTGGTTTCCTTTCTAAAATTTGTCTACTGTGGATACTTTCCAAAAACCCCCGTTAACTAATTCGCCAAGAGTATTTGGTTTTTACTTACCGTTTCGTTACCTATAAAAAATATGCCCTCAAATTTCATAAATCTTAACCAAAGTTATTTTAATGGTTGTTCGAGAGATATCTTTTCGAGATATCTCTTTTAGAAATTTTTTGTTTTACTTTTTTTTTAAGAAAACAAAATTATTTTTTACACGCTTATCGATTTGGAATTTAATTACATGCTCAACCCAGTATGAAATTCTATATCTAAACAATATGTTTTGGACAAAGTACTAATGTTATGAAGAATATTAATGTAAGGATTTGTGTCGCAAAATGAATTTCTTTTTTTCTGTTCTGTGCAGCTGAAAACTTACGCACGCAATAAGAATTAAAGGATTTTTTTTATGCAAGTTTTTATATATTTCCTAAGTAGTTTCCTTAGGGTAACGGAAATCAAGGGAAAAAGTTATGATAAAATCTTTTCTCGGCTTATAGGCTAAAAAAAAAGAATTTTTTTAATTTAAAATAAAAATTCAAATATAGAGGTATGCTTAGTTTTCAATGTTAGTTTCCGCAGACCAAGCAATGAGAACATCGATGTTTTACAAAAATTATTATTATTTTAGCCCAACTGGAAAACTTATATAGTTCATTTAAAAACAAAATAAAAACTTTATTCGGCAAATAAATTAAAGAAAATTGATCAACAATATTTAAGTGATCACCATATTCACATTATAGTATTATAGGATAGTATTATGAAAAGCTTAATCCACCGCTGCTTCCATCCTACACCACCAGTTGAATATCTAAAATCATGTCAATACAGTAAACTTAAATTTAAAAACATTTTCTGCGTTTTCTTTAAAATTGGTAATATTACAAAAAAACATCGATGTTTCTAAAAAATTGTAATACATCGATGCATCGATGTTTTCCATCGATGTTTCTCCACCTCTAGTCGGAAACGTCTCCTTCACTGCGTTGCAAACTTCTGACTGAAATCATAATACCCTCTGCAAGAGTATAAAAATGATAATGTTATTCTATTGTTTTTTCCGATCCTTCCTATGGGAGCTATAAGACATAGTTATGGGATCGGAAACGTCTCCTTCACTGAGTTGCAAACTCTTGACTGAAAACATAATAACTTCTGCAAGGGTATAAAAATTAATTATGTGTACGCAGGATCAAGTTTAAAAACAGCCCCGATCGAATAAATCGGATAAAACTTTCAAAAGTAAGCTATTATTAAAAAATTTCGGCCACAGTATAAGCATTTGACATTAAGCTTTCGAAATACTTTTTTTTGTGTACCTTGATCAGAGTAAAAATTCGCGTGCTGATCGGACGGTATATCTTATAGCTTCCTTAGGAACAAAAGGGGGAAATGGGTTAACAGTTTAAGTTTTACATAGTATTTGCATATATTTCATTTTTATACCCTTGTAGAGGGTATTATAATTTCAGTCAGATGTTTGCAACGCAGTGAAGGAGACGTTTCCGACCACATAAAGTATATATATTCTTGATCAGCATCACTAGACGAGTCGATCTAGCCATGTCCGTCTGTCCGTCTGTCCGTTTCTATGCGAACTAGTCTCTCAGTTTTAAAGATATCGCGATGAAACTTTCCCGAAAGTCTTCTTTCTATTGCAGGTAGTGCATATGTCGGAGCGAGTCGAATCGGACCACTATATCTTAAGGCTCCCATAGGAATATTCAGAGATATATAAGAAAATTCATTGTTACTTTGTAGGAAGTAGGCGTTTTAATTCTTGACTCTTTAAAAACAAAATTCAAAAATAGAAACGCTGAATCTGGAATCCCTGGAACAGCACCGAGTGAGCATTACTTTATCTGCAAGGGTATATAAGCTTCGGCTGGCCGAAGATAGCTTCCTTTCTTGTTAAAAATGTTCTTGTTTATACCATATTAATCTCATTTTCATTCCTGAAATCGGCAACGGTATTGAGCTTTGGCTTGCCAAATCTAGCTTCCATTCCATTATACCCTTGTAGAGGGTATTATAATTTCAGTCAGATGTTTGCAACGCAGTGAAGGAGACGTTTCCGACCACGTAAAGTATATATATTCTTGATCAGCACCAATAGCCGAGTCTATCTAGCCATGTCCGTCTGTCCGTTTCTATGCGAACTAGTCCCTCAGTTTTAAAGCTATCGCGATGAAACTTTCCCGAAAGTCTTCTTTCTATTGCAGGTAGTATATATGTCGGAGCGAGCCGGATCGGACCACTATATCTTAAGGCTCGCATAGGCATATTCAAACAAATATAAGAAAATTCATTGTAACTTTGTAGGAAGTAGGCGTTTTGATTCTTGACTACTTAAAAACAACATTTCAATAAATAGAAACGCTGAATCTGGAATCCCTGGAACTGCACCGAGTGAGCATTCTTTTATCTGCAAGGGTATATAAGCTTCGGCTGGCCGAAGGTAGCTTCCTTTCTTGTTTTAACTTGTTAGGGCTAGAACTCAGCCCAACAAAAAGTCGTCCAAAACAAAAAACTTCATATGAAAACAAGAAAGGAAGTTAACTTCGGCCAGCCAAAGTTTATATACCCTTGCAGGTATGCCTACTTCTACAAAGTTACAATATTTTTTCTATTATTTTTTTGATTATTCCTATGGGAGCCATAAGATATAGTGGTCCAATCCGGCTCGTTCCGACATATGTACTACCTGCAATAGAAAGAAGACTTTTGGGATAGTTTCATCGCGATAGTTTTAAAACTGAGGGACTAGTTTGCATAGAAACGGACAGACGGACAGGCTGACAGACGGACAGGCTGACAGACGGACAGGCTGACAGACGGACAGGCTGACAGACGGACAGACTGACAGACGGATATGGCTAGATGGACTCGGCTATTGATGCTGATCAAGAATATATATACTTTATGTGGTAGGAAACGTCTCCGTCACTGCGTTACAAACATCTGACTGAAATTATTATACCCTCTGCAAGGGTATAAAATCGTCATGAAATTATGTTTCATATGAAGTTTTTTGTTTTGGACGACTTTTTGTTGGGTTGAGTACTAGCCCTAAATTACACTATGCAGCATCAAAAATGTACCTCGATGGATGCTATATTTTTGTATTTGTTACGAATTCCCAAGTTAAACTGCGTTTTCCAAAAAGTTCCCCGACGCAAGGATTCTTAGCAAAAGGACCTCAAAGTTCGAAAAATTCTGAAATTGGCCAACTTTCCAGAGCTTTCAGAGGCAAACGGGTGCTTGGTTTGATTCGATGTTAAAGTTTTTTAAAAGATACAGTTTTTATCTTTCAAACCCCATACTTAGAATAATTTTAGGATTTTTTTTAAGGGAGAAACAAATTTTAGAAAACAGTCAAAAAACATAAAAGTTTAAAAGTTTGATGTTGTAACTTTTTTTATCCAATTAGTCTAATAGTTAAATTATAATCAATACAATATTACCAGGAAAAGATCAATTACAACAACAAACTTGTAAATACACAGGGCGGCAACACTACTACTATTTTGACCGCATCTGTATGTTTTAAAGTTTTTTGACTATATTTTCTGGAATTTTTTTCTGCCTTAAAAAAAATCCTTGGGAATTCGTAACGAATCCAAAAACATAGCACCCATCGAAGTAAATTTAAAAAACACTAATTATGCCGCACAGTGTTATTTTTAGGGATAAATTTTACAGCAAAATCATATTAGCATAAGCTATGGTTTGTAATAACCTTTGAATAAAGGTTTTTCACTTCGCTTGTAAAATCTTTTCGTCTTTGCTTTTTTAGGACAAACATGAACGGGAAGAAGAGGAACGCAAACGACGAATTCAACTATATGTGTTTATATCACGATGCATTTCGTACCCCTTCAATGCTAAACAGCCTACGGACATGACTAAGCGGCAAACAAAAATAACAAAACAGCAGCTGGAAATTATAACTCAACGATTTCAAGTAAGATGTCTGAACTGCAAATACACTCATAGAAATTTGTACCTTAAGTGGCCCTTAAAACTGACTTTTCGCCCTTTGATTTAGAAGCAGGAAATTCGCAAAAGTTTGTGTAAAAAATTCCAATGACAATTATGTCATATGTCATATATAGATGTTTTATTTTCGTCAATTAAGAAAGATTTTCCTGATTTTAGGATGACTTAACCTAAATGCAAGGAGTATTTTTCTAAAAATAGGCATCTTTTGTGTTTATAGGTAAATTGCTCTAAAAATAAGACAAATTAAAAAAAAACGGTCTTGATCATGCTCAGCTGAATTTGGGAAGCATGTCTTAATCGTGTAATTTCTGGGAACTGACTTTAAACACACCCACGGACAGCGTTTTATGTTTTCTAAATGTACTTGTAAAGGGTGTTTTTTTAGAGGTATAAAACTTTAAGTTGGCATCACTGTTCAAGATGGCGACCGATTTAACAGCTGTTCAGTGATTTATTCTCAGTTTGGTTTGGCAATTCATCATGAATAGACTCACGGCTGAACAACGCTTGCAAATAGTGCAATTTTATTTCGATTTATTGAAAGACACGTTTGGTGACCGCCTAATTTTACGTTTTGGACCTGTAAATTGGTCTCCAAGATCTTGTGATTTAACACCGCTAGACTACTTTCTGTGGGGCTATGTAAATTCATTGATCTATGCGGATAAGCCACAAACGCTTGACCATTTGAAAAACAACATTTGCTGTGTTATTGCCTATATACGGCCGCAAATCTTGGGAAAAGTCATCGAAAATTGGACGTCCAGATTGGACTACATCCGAGCCAGCCGTGGCGGTCATATGCCAAAAAATCGAGTATTACTATAAAGGAGTAGATGTCGATTTGCGTCATGTTCCCCCAGCCCAAACCATAAGACCTAAAATTTTGGAAAAAATTGGGTCTGAATCGTGTGTTAGAAGAGGTGTGCACTAAGAAAGGATTTTTTAAAATTCGACTCCTAAGGGCTCCCAGGACTCTCGAAAATGCAATATTGGTTGATTAAAACCAAAATGGAAAAAATTGGGTCTGAATCGTGTGTTAGAGGAGGTGTGCACTAAGAAAGGATTTTTTAAAATTCGGCTCCTAAGGACTTCCAGGACTTTCGAAAATGCAAAATTGGTTGATTAAAACATCAACCATTCCCACAGTTTTCAACCAAACAAGTTGATATTTTTTTTTTAAGCTTTGTTTGTGGAAATCTTTGAAAGCCCAGAAGATGAGCCCCCACCGACTTCCGGTTGGGGCACTTAATTAATTTTTCCGCACCGATTATGCGATCGCATCCGTTTTTGGACCCACGGTTGATTTTATATGAATATTTTTGTTTGCGGGGGTTGGGGGGGGGGCTCTTTGGCAGCACGTTGTTTTTGTTTTTCGCAGCACTCACGAACGCAAAAGCAGAGCGATAGAGTAGTGACCAGAGAGAGAGTCATTTGAAGCGAAAGAGAGGCGGCTAATGTTTTTTTTTTATGCTTTAGAAACACCTGATAACATTTTTACTATTTGGATACCAGAACGGATTGTCTAATAGATGCAATTCTAAGTCAAAGTGTGTAGCCAACCCATAAAATGGACAAGGAATTTTTGTTTTGATTTTAAAAAAATTTTGGATTGGTTTTCAAGGGGAGAGCCGGGAAAAACTTTCAGTCGTCACATTTGCATGTGAGAAACGCAATGACACTTACACATTGATAAATTGGCATGTACATAAGTATGTAATGATTAAATTAGAATAAAATAACGGATCACCTAATGTATGCAATTCTAAATCAAATATTTAAAAAAAATTTAAAAAAAAACTGTTTTTTAATTGTGTTGAAGACGAGGGGCGCACGAGGAAAATTGTTAAGAAATTTCGCCTCCAGAATTACACCCACTCTTTTCACCCAAAAGAGTTGGAGCTTTACGTGCTTTTTTTAATTTTCCTTATTATCGGAAATATTTAACTCCAGCTGTTGATCCGACATTGGGGCACTTCTTTTTTTGTTTACCTACAGATCCGTTTTTCGCTTAAAGCATTTTGGCCGTAGCCTTTCATAGGTTATTGTGTGTTATTTCTTATATATTCTTTTTAATGTTTTGAAGGTTTTTGGGGGTTAGATCTGTTCAAAATAAACGCTAAAAAAGAGTAAGAGTTTTTCTCTGCATTCGTTTAGCTAACCAAATCTATAAAATTAGGCTACCAGAACGGTGGAGTTAATAAAGTGAGATTAGGGGTTAAGTTGCGATTAAGGAGGTATTAGATAGATTAGGGTAAAAGAACTGTAAGGGAAAGGTGAAGGTGAGAAAGATAAGGTTCGTTTGGACTTTAGTCAGGATAAGGTCAAGGTGACAAACAAGTTTTACTAAGAAAAAGTGAAGTTAAAGTAAGTATAGTAGGGAAAATTTTTTTTCAGGTTAGAAGGATTTGAATATTAGTGCGTTCTAGGTGGGTTTACCGTTTAGCTAAGGTTACGCGGGATTTTACTCTGATATTAATTTGAATTTGCTAATAGTAGCGGACAACGTCGCTTCGGGTATTGCTAGTCATATATAAAATGTAATGCCACAAGATTATCTTTCGAATAAAAAAAATGCATGTCAATCGAATAATCCATCGTTGTTTTATTGCAACTTAAAGTTCTATACCTCTAAAAAAACATGTAGCCATGTGGTCAAAATCTTCCAAGTGTTAATTTAAGCATTTTTGGTAGTGCCGTGAAAATTGAATTTCTCAAAAAGTCCCAAGAAGAGCAGATTAACTCTGGATGTCCCGAATTGACCCCTCTTTAACATGAGTCAACCCACTGGCTCACCAAATGTCAACATTTTTTGTAATCTTTATTCAAAGTTAAACTTTCTTTTTCCAAACCTATTAAGAGAGACTACTTGGTATATGAAGCAATTGCTTCAAATCACTCCCGAAATAAGCAACAAAGTAGTTTTAACACATAGGAAGGACATTTTAATGAAGAGATAATGAGATATTAATTTATATGTGCACTGCAAAATGAAACCAAATTTAAACACATTTCACGCTTGCAGTGGCGACTTTAACAGCTGTTATTTTAACATTAGACTGTTAACTTAACATTTGCAGTATGTAACATGGATCAAAATGAAGATCCATTCTTATTTCGTTTCCATTAATGTTTCAAAAATTTTAATTCTGTAAAAAACACATTTAAGCCAAAAAAAAAGAGAAGGTGTGGGCGCCAGGCACATTTTAAAATCTTTAGTGGGCGTTAGAGGGGGCGTGGGGCTCGGCTGAACTAAACTTGCGCTGCGTAGAAAGCCCAAGAATATGTGTTCACCTTCTAGCTTTTGTAGTTTCCGAGGTCTCAGCGTTCACCCAGACATACAGACAGAAGGATATGGCTAGATTGACTCGGCTAGAAATCCTAATCAAGAATATATCTACTTTATAGGGTACTATCTGCAGAAGAAATAAGACTTTTGGGAAAGTTTCATCGCGATAGCTTTAAAACTGAGAGACTAGTTCGCATAGAAACGGACGGACATGTCTAGATGGATTCGGCTATTGGTGCTGATCAAGAATATATACACTTTATGCTGTCTGTTGGGTCGGGGGTGGCTTGATTGTCGAAGCGATGATAAGTCCCAGGAAAAGCGGATGAATTTCCGCACAGAAATTGTAACGAAAAACACGGGTAGAAAACTTCGGGGTTTTGCGCGACGTGCGGCTGTTTATTTGGACACTTGTAAATTGGAACTAATTACATGAAGCTTGACTTAGCGGCTCCAGAGCGGAGCGTAGAGTTGCGGGAGAGTTGGAGAGGGAGAGCGAAGGGCAGTGCGAGCGAGCGAGATGTGGACATCTGGAGAAAACTGCCGCTCGACACTGCCTCTCGAAATTAGACGCCCTTTTGGCGTGAACACTGTCGAAAACGACTCCTTCACTGCGTTGCAAACATCTGACTGAAATTATAATGCCCTCGACAAGGGTATAAAAATAAACAAATATTTTTTAGTAAAAATGTTTTGGGAAGTCGACTGTCCCAACTTACAGACCGTCCCAACTTAAAGATCTCTTCTCCACTCATATAATTTTGAAAATTTTAGAAGTAATTTAAGCAGTTAACATTTTGGGAACCCCTCTGATTTAAAATGTTTATATTTTAGGCGTTTCTTAAAGGTGAAACCCAAATAATGGCAGATGAAGCATTTCAAAACGCTGTACAGAGTTATCATGACGTGTTTCTAAAATCGGAACGAGTTTTAAAGATGGTGCAATCTGGAGCATCATCGCAACATGATTTTCGCGAAGTTTTTCGCAACAACATAGAAAAACGAGTCAGGTAATATAAAAGTATAAAGTCTATTAGAGTGGTATCTATGCTTATTTACACATTACCGTTTTATTTTAGGTCTTTACCTGAGATCGATGGTCTTAGTAAGGAAACCGTATTGACTTCTTGGATGGCAAAATTCGACATAATATTAAAAGGAACTGGAGAAGAGGATTCGAAGAGACCTTCTCGGATGCAGCAATCACTAAATAGCGAACTAATTCTTTCCAAAGAGCAATTGTATGACATGTTTCAGCAAATATTGTTAGTAAAAAAATTTGAGCATCAAATTTTATATAACGCCTTAATGGTAAATTCATGATTTTAAGATAATCTTCACATGCAAGTAATAAATATTAATTTTGTAGTTAGATTCTGCCGATGAGCAAGCAGCGGCTATAAGACGGGAATTAGACGGAAGAATGCAACGCGTAGGAGAAATGGAAAAGAATCGAAAGCTTATGCCAAAATTTGTACTCAAGGAAATGGAGTCTCTTTACGTTGAGGAACTAAAGTCGTCAATAAATCTTCTGATGGCAAATCTTGAATCTCTTCCAGTATCAAAAGGAAATATGGATAGTAAATATGGACTTCAAAAACTTAAACGTTATAATCACAGGTTAATTAATTTAATTTCATAAATATTAAATATTTAAATAATCTTATTCTTTTCACTCGTGCTTCTTGTATTGACTTACAGTACACCGTCATTTTTGTAAGTTACCATAAATTAAGTATTACTTTTAAAAGTCAAAAAGTTTAAATATTCCTGTTATCTGTGTAAATGCGGATATAAAACGAAAGAAAAAGGGTTTTATCGACTCGGTTGTGGGTGCTTATAAATATTAGGTTGTCGAAAAAGTCTTGCGGTATTTTCGCTAGTTGGCGCTGAAAGCGCGTAGTTCTTGTTTTATTCGTCGCATCTGGTCATAATATACCTTTTTGGAAAGCTTATTTCACGCGCTAACACGCGTTTGATTGATTGTCTTTTCTTTTAAGTCGTTCGTGAGTTTTAGCGTCGCAATCATGGAGCAAAATAAAGAGAAAATAGGGCATATTTTACAGTACTACTACGATAAAGGCAAAAATGCATCTCAAGCCGCCAATAAAATTTGCAGTTTATGGACACGATACAGTTTCCATTTCCACCGCGCAGAGGTGGTCAAAGAAGGAGGGCCTGTCGTAGAAAATTGCAATAAAACCGGCATAGTAGTAGCCGTAGCATCGGTCAAGAGCTTGGCTTAAGTCATCAAGCCGTTATAAACCATTTGAAAAAGCTTTGAGTCACTTAAAAACTCGATGTAAAAAAGAAAAAAAAATATAATAAAAATACCGCAGGACTTTTTTGACAACCTTATATTTACACTTAATATTAGTGGAGTGAAACAATTTATCAGCAGAGTAGTAAAACTAGCTGTATATATGTATATTTGTCTCTCCATCTGACCTGTTAAATTTTGAGAGAAATCCAAATGCCATTTACCAGCGGAATACCACGACATTCCAAGGACACGCACAAAATAATATAGTCAGAATTCATATTTTAGTATACATTATTTGTTTACATATTTAAAGCATAGCTCGCAAATAACTGTTGACCGATTCGTCCGGTCCCCAAATAACTGTTTTTCTCTGAGACTTTGAGCAAACAATCAGAGAGCAACCGATTGAATTGTTCGTACTGAAATTTTGCTCGCACTCAGCCGACGAGCAGTTTTTTCGGCTTTCTTTTGCTCGGCTCGCTTACAGACCGATTGCTCCTGAACGACGTTTCAAAAAGTCTTTTGCGCATGTGTTAACGTTAACGTGCTTGGGCGATATTGCTCTCCCTTTCACTCGCACGTACTTTCAAAGGGAATACATTGTATAGTTGTATTAGTGAAAAGACTTTGCGATGACTTTTTCAGTCAATCGGTCTTTTAATAAGTCTCCCTGTGCGAGCGACATTCGTATCTCTCATTGAACGAGGTTCGTAACAGAGCGTCTCACGAACAGCTCAACGTAAAAGGCTCAGCCGAAAACCAAAACGAAAGGAAACGAAGTGTGCTGCGCAGAGAGAGAACGAGGGGCATGCTATTTTTCGGTTGTTCTCGGGAGTAGAGCGTAAGGAAAAAAACGGTTTACAGTTATTTGCATGCTTTGATTTAAACTTAAAATTGTTTGTCTAAAAAAAAATTTTCTTTTCCTTGCACACGAACAAATTGACATACTCCAAGCCACACTTCAAGGCAATGCGCTGTCTTCGTTAGTTCAATATCAATTTTATATAATAATTTTCTAACATAATAGCATTTATAGAAAACAATTTTTACTGTTGCTTATTGAGTATCTAACACATATGTCAGAAAATTTTCTTTCAAATTCGTTTAAAATTTAGTTTGGTTAGAAGAGGTTTCCATTGCAGTTTCTTATATGTATGCTCCTCAAATTAAATATCAACCGAGTTGATCTAGCCAGGATAGATCTGAGATTAACAAATAACAGTTATTTGTAAACTTTTATAAAAAAAATTGAAAATAAAGATTGAATTTAAATAACTCTTGAACTGTGGGGTGCATTGGCTTAAAATTTATATATATATAATCTACGCTTTAATACCTTTCTGTTGATATGTAACATGTCCCCAAAATATTTTTTATGATGCAAAAATGTTATTATTATGAAAAATATTTTGGCGACATACGCCATATCAACAGAAAGGTATTAAAGCGTAGACTATATATACCCCACCGTTCAAGAGTTATTTCAATTCAATCTTTATTTTCGATTTTTATTATAAAAATTGACAAATAACACCAGTTTACAAAAAAAATCGATGAAATATGCCATGAATGAAACCTTTGTTTTCCGATAAGGTACGTCTTCCTGATTAAGAAAATGGCACTTAAAATTTTTTTTAAGGATAAAATTTTTTTTAAAGTGTAAAAAACGTTTTTGACACTTTATTAATTTCTAACTTGAGTTGTGGTTAACCGATTTCAAAAATGACTCATTTTACAGGTAATAGAATGCCCTCTAACTTTCTTATACACTGCATTGAGTTCCATTCATTAGCTTAGAAGCTACATTTCGTCAAAGTTGAAAAAGTTAGAAAAAATGCAAAGATGCTGACATAAATGGCTTCGTTAAAAATACACGCCTAAAAACCGAAATTAGTTTTATAACTTTTACTGGTAGAAGGTGCTTTGACAAAAAAAACAAGCTATTGATCATTACAATCCACCAACAAATTAATTTGATATGCATTTTTGAAGCTTGCGACAACGGTGTTTTTTTGGCCGTTTACAGCTGTTAACTGACACAACAGGGCTCTAACAGGGCTGTAATACCCGTTTTTCCCAACGTAAAAAATCGATATAAAATCGAACTATTGATTGATTTTTTTGTTGATGGTCTTGTTAGTTGGCCTAAAGATGTATCTTTAAGTATAAGTCATAAAACTAATTTCGGTTTTTAGGCGTGTATTTTTAACGAAGCCATTTATGCCAGAATCTTTGCATTTTTTCTAACTTTTTCAACTTTGACGAAATGTAGCTTCTAAGCTAATGAATGGAACTCAATGCAGTGTATAAGAAAGTTGGAGGGCCATTCTATTACCTGTAAAATGAGTCATTTTTGGCTGAAATCGGTTAACCACAACTCAAGTTAGAAATTAAAAAAGTGTCAAAAACGTTTTTTACACTTTAAAAAAAATGTTATCCATAAAAAAAATTTTTAGTGTAATTTTCTTAATCAGGAAGACGTACCTTACCGGAAAACAAAGGTTTCATTCATGGTATATTTCATCGATTTTTTTTTGTAAACTGGTGTAACTCTTATTTGTTGATTTTTATAATAAAAATTGAACCGTAAGAGTTATTTGTCAACATATATAATAAAAATTGAAAAATTAGACTTATTTGTCAATTTTTTGAATAAGTTAACTCTTATTTGCGATCCCTGAAAACAAGAAAGGAAGTTAGCTTCAGATTGTTCCTGTAAATTAAAAAAAAACTTTCAGAAGTATTACAAAATTTCAATTCAATCTTTATTTTCGATTTTTATTATAAAAAATGACAAATAACTCTTATTTGTTGATTTTTATAATATAAATTGAACCGTAAGAGTTATTTGTCAACATATATAATACAAATTAAAAAAAAAAGACTTGATTGTCAATTTTTTGAATAAGTTAACACTTATTTGCGATCCCTGAAAACAAGAAAGGAAGTTAGCTTCAGATTGTTCCTGTAAATTAATAAAAAACTTTCAGAAGCATTACAAAATTTTTAAATTTTGATTTATAGTAGTTTCGTACTATTTTAAAATATATATATGTATCCTTAATCAGGATTACTCTGCAAAAAACAGTTTCACATTCTTGAAGCTAGAATATAAAATTAAACTTAAAGGTATTTGTTCAGCCAGGGGGCCCTGGTGTCTTTTGGAATAAGCATTCTAGTTTTTAAGATGGTTAGCTGGGTAACGGGTATCTAATAGTCGAGCCACTCGACTATAGCGTTTTTTTTTTGTTTAAATTAATTTCCCGTTAATTTCGATCGAAGTTAAGTAATATTTATAAAACCAAGCTATAATTTGTTCCATATTTTTTATGGAAGCTATACGACGTAGTTGTCCGATCCGGGTAATTCCGACGTATATACTGACGGAATTTATTCGGTCGGAAAAGTCTCCTTTACTGCGTTGCAAACTCCTGACTGAAATCATTGTAGCCTCTGAAAGGGTTTACAAATCACAGGCGAAGAAATGATGAAAGCAGCATAAACTTTTATTTTTGATTTTTATATATCATTTAATTTGGTAAAGCAGATATTTAATGATGTATGTAATACAAATCAGAAAATAACTGTTAATTATCGGAATTAACAGATATTTAATTTAATTATGTCTGCAATTAAAATCAAAAAATAATTGTTAAATTGTGAATTGTATTTTACAAATTATAACCATTACTGGGTATGTACAATATCTTGGAGCATTCAATCGCATATGGCTCATGACAAACTACGTTTTCCACAAATAAAATTTTGTTTGTTTATTTTTTTTGTATCCACAAGGTTGGTAGTTCTGTTCGTCTAAATTCTATATGAGTCGTATCTTTTTTTTAAATCCGAACGGTATTATTTAATAAACAATTTGTATGAATATAACTGTTAGCATTTTAAAAATGTTCCACGTTTTAAATAATATTTAAATAAATTTGTAATTTGGTACAATAATTTTTCTGTTTTGTATGGTTTCCAAAAAAAGGAAATTAATTCTGCGATCCCACGGATCCTTGTCTAAGCTGGAGGGTGACTCAGAGGATGGTTCTACGCAATTGACAAAATTAGATGTTGTACTTACCTTTCAATTGGAAGTAATTGTTATGGAGGTTAAAGGACTTAAATCATTAGCTCCCAATCGTATTGTTTACTGCACAATGGAAGTTGAAAATGGAGAGAAGCTTCAAACGGATCAAGCGGAGGCATCAAAACCAATGTGAGAGTCTATCGCAAAAAGGCTTAATCTTACATACTTCTTCTAATAGGTGGGATACACAAGGCGATTTTACAACCACACATCCACTGCCAGTTGTCAAGGTCAAACTGTACACAGAGAACCCCGGAATGCTGGCATTGGAGGATAAAGAACTAGGAAAAGTAACCCTAAAACCTACTCCTCTTTCTTCCAAAGTAAGCCTTACTTAAATATGTATAATTTCATATAAAATATTTGACTTTGTTTTAGTCACCTGAGTGGCATAGAATGGTTATTCCGAAAAACCTTCCAGACCAAGATATACGTATTAAGATAGCTTGCCGACTTGATAAGCCTTTAAATATGAAACATTGTGGGTACGTACAATGCATTTGTATTCCTGTCAATTTTGTTTTACAAAAGTTTTAATTATACTTCTTTAGGCACCTATATGCGATCGGGAAATCAGTGTGGAAAAAATGGAAAAGGCGTTATTTTGTCTTAGTTCAAGTATCCCAATATACCTTTGCGATGTGTAGTTATAAGGAAAAAAAATCGGAGCCGTCTGAGATGATGCAGCTTGATGGATATACAGTAGATTACATCGAAGCCGCCAGTGGTATATTTATCCTATTGTTAATAACACATAAACACAAAACTGAACTTTATGAAATTTCCACGAAGCAATTTCAGTTTTCCATAAGAATTGGGTGCCGCTGAGTGAAAAAAAAAAAACATAAAACTTATGTTTTATCACCTACAGATTCCGCGATAAATCTGTTCTCAATACATACCGGCATTCCTAATAACCTAATAAAAACGCTTTATACCGAAATTAAGGAATACAGTGGACAGTAAATTTCATTTATGAAAAAAATTACTTCTATTTAAGATTTAAATTTTAGAATTGGTTATTCATTAGTGAAATCGTGAACATTTTGGGATTTTGAACTTTGGCGTCGCATTCCAAAGATGTGGGCAATGGTTGACAATGGGAACTATTTTTTAGGAATGCCGTGATGTATTGAGAGCAGAGTTCAGTGAAAATAATTAAGGTAAGTCCAATTATATTGGCCACATAAGTCGAAATGTCGGCAAACATCGGTTTTTTGTATTCTTAGCTATACCGCGGAACCGGTAGGTGATGGGACATAAGTTTGTATGACACTTTTACTCAGGAGCATTTAATTATCATGGAAAACTAACTAGAAATGGTTCGTGGACATTTTTTTCTGTTTACCTGTGTAATAAAAAGTTTTTTTTTAATTGTGATTTTTAATTAGCAAACCTAATGTTTGGCATCGACCTAAATGGTGGACGCTTTTTCTTCAACGCTGTTCGCGAGGGTGATAGTATTTCTTTTGCTTGCGATGATGAGAACGAATGCAGTCTGTGGGTCATGGCAATGTACAGGGCGACTGGTCAGTCTCATAAGCCAACTCCACCAATAACACAAGACAAAAATTCAGCGATGTCAAAAATTCAAGGTGGTAAGTAATATATAATATTTGTCTATTGTTTTCTTTATTTTTATTTCCGTTGCTATTGTTGATGATGATTGATATTTTATCTGTTAAGTAGATTAAAATTAGGAAATATACAAAGGTCCGTATTCAAATTCTGGTGCTTTAGCTTGACCGAACTTTAAAAACCTTCGTGAATACAGGCGAACTATAAATCCAAAGGACTAACATCAGGAGCAACAGTAACTCGATTGGGCCGCCCTACTTTCTATAGCCGCTCTGAGCAATTGTTTTGGGGCTTAGCACGTTTAAATAAGGTCAGCGTCTACTAGATTTCAGTATTTTTAGGGTGCTTAAATCACTGTGTATGGCAGTCTACGTAGTGACGAACTAAGAGACTACTGCATAGCCGCAGAATTGAAAATCTGCTACAATAGTCCTACCGAAACAAAAGAAACAGCGCGTCGAAGGAGCACAATATTTTCCCAATCAGACCGGCCGTTTACAACTTATGCATTTTTTTAAATATTTGGGGGCGTATCTTGAAAATTGAAGCGAATGTGAAAGACAAAAGTAAAATGCAGATCAAGAAAGTGTGGTGAAAAATAACCTGGGATCCCAGACCGAACTTCATGTAAAAGTCACCTGATTTGTACTTTGCCATAAACTGGAGCACAATATTTTCCCAATCAGACCGGCCGTTTACAACTTATGCATTTTTTTAAATATTTGGGGGCGTATCTTGAAAATTGAAGCGAATGTGAAAGACAAAAGTAAAATGCAGATCAAGAAAGTGTGGTGAAAAATAACCTGGGATCCCAGACCGAACTTCATGTAAAAGTCACCTGATTTGTACTTTGCCATAAACTGAGGTTAACAGCAATCAGAAATCAGCAGTCAAAAGTTTGTCTGTCAACCGAAAAAAGTGGAAAAATCCGAACTTTAAAAATCCACCATAAATCCAGTTTTCCATGGATTTGGACCATATCCGGCTTGTTTTATTCGTTAGGATGTATACTTTAAGTTTGTACCCATTATGATTTTTCAACGGATTTATTTCGAGTTTTTACGATATCTACAGCCGACTTACAGACGACCAAAAACACATTTTTCATCTTTGTCGAGCTTCTGCGCTGCCATTACTCATCCAATCGTATTGATCTGTATGGCAAAGTTAAGCTCTGATCTATTGACTTTAAAATAAAACTAAAACTGGAAGAAATTCGAAAAAAGTCCGAAATTTAACATTTCGAACTTTAAAAAATCTTTTAAAAAAAACTGTGCCATCGAAAAAAAAATAAGTGCTATTTTTGTGATCTAGGGGTCCAGCACTAACAGAATTTGCCATCAATTGCTGGGTAGCACACCAAGAATATTATTTTGTAAACTAGTGTTTTCTTATTATCTTACAAAATTCCGTGGGAGTTTTTTTGTCAGGCTAGATTTCTATATATGGGCAATTCTCTGCTGTCTCACGCGACGTTCGTACGCTTTGCAGGTAAAAAACCATCTTCCAGGACTTCTTTTCTTTTGGCACTATGCTCAAATTAAAGGTCTTAATTAGCACTAAAATATGTGCTAGGGCTGACTTTGGACCATTTTTCGTTTTTAAGATATATAAAAACTTCGGCCAGCCGAAGTTTATATACCCTTGCAGGTTTGCCTACTTAAAATGTTGTTTTTACATTGTCAAAAATCAAAACGCCTACTTTCTACAAAGTTACAATAGTTGTTCTATTATTTTTTTGATTATTCCTATGGGAGCCATAAGATATAGTGGTCCGATTCGGGTCGTTCCGTCATATGTACTACCTGCAATAGAAAGAAGACTTTTGGGAAAGTTTCATCGCGATAGCTTTAAAACTGAGGGACTAGTTCGTATAGAAACGAACAGACAGACGGACATGGCTAGATGGACTCGGCTATAGATGTGGTAGAAAACGTCTCCTTCACTGCGTTGCAAACATCTGACTAAAATTATAATACCCTCTGCAAGGGTATAAAAACAACACTTTCGCACGCGACACCAATAGAAGTGACTTTTTTGACTTCCTGCTTAACTTTCGATTATAACGAAACGTGAAGTAATATTTTAATGCAGTTAATTTCATAGTGTTCCTTGTTCTTTCTTCTTTAAAATGTATGTGGTTTGGTTACAAAATATTGAGTGGTTTTTTTTTTATTGGCATCGAAGTGACTGTCACACGCTACATGTCGCACGCGACAGTTTTTTCCGTCATTTTCTTAGGTGGTCTTTCTGTAACCTTAACGTCAAAAAAACCGTTTAAGAGCCACTTTAAAAAATACCAAAAAATGATTTTTGTGTCCATATAACAGTTATTGTCCTGGAAAATTATCCAAGGATGCTCAAATTACTTAGCTTAGTTGAGGATCCATCTAACTAGAATCAAATATCAGTGCAAAATCATATAGAAATATGTTTTTTTCAAGTTTCACGTTTTTTGGCTTGGTTGACATCCCCAGAGAATTGCCCATATTGATATATTGTTTATGTGGTTGGAAACGTCTCCTTCACTGCGATGCAAACTTTTGACTGAAATTATAATACCCTCTGCTATAAAAATCAAGTTCATTTTAATGATCTTACATTCAAGTTTTTGTTCCAAATAAAACTCACATAAAATATCATTTTTCTATGTTCGGCGCCTACTGCTAACCAAATTGAAAGGCACATTTTTACGAATGTGTCAGATATTTATGTAAAACGGAACTTAAAAATACTTGTTACTTTTCACGTTCTTACGGAAAAAATTCTATAAATTCCATCCTTCGACGTACAATGGTCTTGTTTGTTTTAAAAATTCGGTGATAGACGCCTCTAGATGCCTGTAAAATATTTTAGGGCACATATTTTTCCTTGTATTTTTTTAAGCCTGTTCACCGCATCAAGTTGGTTGGGAATAGAGACACGGTTGCCAAATTTGGCTCTTTTTCGCGCTGGCTCTTTGGCCTATTTTTATTGAATTTGGCTCTTTTTTTTTTGCTAATAGCGATAAACATATTTTAGACTTGAAAAAAACGATTTCATTTTTGTATTAATGCATTTTTTTTTTTTTTTTTTGCAATTTTAAAAGTGAATCATAGCTGAAACCCAAAAGTGCCAGATCGAAACTAAATTGTTTCGCTGGCATGGTAATTTTGTATATGGTAAAAATTCGGCTCTTTTTTATTGAAATTGGCTCATTATACCAGTTACTCGTAGAGTAAAACGTATGAACGCTGAGATCTCGGAAACTATAAAAGCTAGAGGATTGGTATTTGGCATGAAGATTCTTGGAGTTCTTACGCAGCGCAAGTTTGTTTCAAGAAGGTGCCACGCCCCCTCTAACGCCCACAATCCCTTATATACGACTTTAAAAATTTAAATATTTCGGAAAAGTAAAAATGCAGTTTTACTGTGTTTATCAATATCTATCGAAATATAGAAGACATTTTTCAACCGTCATTTTCTTAGGTGGTCTTTCTGTAACCTTAACGTCAAAAAAACCGTTTAAGAGCCACTTTAAAAAATACCAAAAAATGATTTTTGTGTCCATATAACAGTTATTGTCCTGGAAAATTATCCAAGGATGCTCAAATTACTTAGCTTAGTTGAGGATCCATCTAACTAGAATCAAATATCAGTGCAAAATCATATAGAAATATGTTTTTTTCAAGTTTCACGTTTTTTGGCTTGGTTGACATCCCCAGAGAATTGCCCATATTGATATATTGTTTATGTGGTTGGAAACGTCTCCTTCACTGCGATGCAAACTTTTGACTGAAATTATAATACCCTCTGCTATAAAAATCAAATTCATTTTAATGATCTTACATTCAAGTTTTTGTTCCAAATAAAACTCACATAAAATATCATTTTTCTATGTTCGGCGCCTACTGCTAACCAAATTGAAAGGCACATTTTTACGAATGTGTCAGATATTTATGTAAAACGGAACTTAAAAATACTTGTTACTTTTCACGTTCTTACGGAAAAAATTCTATAAATTCCATCCTTCGACGTACAATGGTCTTGTTTGTTTTAAAAATTCGGTGATAGACGCCTCTAGATGCCTGTAAAATATTTTAGGGCACATATTTTTCCTTGTATTTTTTTAAGCCTGTTCACCGCATCAAGTTGGTTGGGAATAGAGACACGGTTGCCAAATTTGGCTCTTTTTCGCGCTGGCTCTTTGGCCTATTTTTATTGAATTTGGCTCTTTTTTTTTTGCTAATAGCGATAAACATATTTTAGACTTGAAAAAAACGATTTCATTTTTGTATTAATGCATTTTTTTTTTTTTTTTTGCAATTTTAAAAGTGAATCATAGCTGAAACCCAAAAGTGCCAGATCGAAACTAAATTGTTTCGCTGGCATGGTAATTTTGTATATGGTAAAAATTCGGCTCTTTTTTATTGAAATTGGCTCATTATACCAGTTACTCGTAGAGTAAAACGTATGAACGCTGAGATCTCGGAAACTATAAAAGCTAGAGGATTGGTATTTGGCATGAAGATTCTTGGAGTTCTTACGCAGCGCAAGTTTGTTTCAAGAAGGTGCCACGCCCCCTCTAACGCCCACAATCCCTTATATACGACTTTAAAAATTTAAATATTTCGGAAAAGTAAAAATGCAGTTTTACTGTGTTTATCAATATCTATCGAAATATAGAAGACATTTTTCAACCATTCGTTTAAAAGTTATGCGTGATCAAAGTTTTCTATCTCAATCTCCCTCGCACTCCCTTTACCTGAGTAACGGGTATCTGATAGTCGGGGCACCCGACTATAAAGTTCTCTCTTGTTTTTATACCCTTGTAGAGGGTATTATAATTTCAGTCAGATGTTTGCAACGCAGTGAAGGAGACGTTTCCGACCACATAAAGTATATATATTCTTGATCAGCACCAATAGCCGAGTCTATCTAGCCATGTCCGTCTGTCCGTCTGTCCGTCTGTCTGTCTGTCCGTCTGTCCGTCTGTCCGTTTCTATGCGAACTAGTCTCTCAGTTTTAAAGCTATCGCGAT